CATATAACTTACTCATTTTTCCCTTGTATGTCCTAGAAATAAGAATTTGGGTCCAAAAGTTTGGTTAGGTATAGGTTATTTTGACAAAGATACATAATAGTGATGCAGTATTTTTCATACTGCATCATATCAAAAAGCACATACTGTCACTTGCTGTCCTCTTCTGTGTGTATGAAGATTAAACCCAGGGCCTTGTCCATGCTAAGCACATGCTCCACCTCTGAGCAAGATCTCTAGCCTCATTTGGCGGGGGTGGGTGGGGGTGGGGTTGTTTTTTAATAGTCAGAAACAAGTTGAAATTTGTGGGGGGGCTTTGGTTTTTTTGTTTTTGCAGTACTGGAAATTGAACCAAGGGGCCCTCTGCCCTCCTACATCCCGGCTATTTGTATTTTGTGTTTTGAGGCAGGATCTCACTAAACTGCCTAGGCTGACCTCAAACAAGTGGTCCGCCTGACTCAGCCTCCCAAATAGCTAGGATTATAGGTGTTCACTGCCACACCTCAGGCTTAGTATAGTCTTGAGGTACTCGAAATCCAATTGTCTCTCTCAGTCAGGGATCGAAAACCTAACTGCCTAGAGCAGCCCAGGCCACTGATTGTCTAGAGTGCAGTAAGCCAGGCAGAGTGTACAAAGTACACCACAAACCACATCTCATAGGGACACACACCGTTCAGCAACAGCCACTTAATGCCAAGTGGGAATGTGGGCCCAGAACTTCCCATGTCTTAACTTTTAAAGGGAAATTGGCTGTTCTCAAATTTTACTTAGGCTTTTGAGAATAGAATTTAAAACCATCGTGACTGTAATGCCAGCTTTTCAACATTTAAGGTTGGCCCACCCTCTCCCTTTTACTTGGGATTCCTATAATATTTCTTACAAATTACCTTATTGGCAGTATATTAAAGTTTTAGTATTGCTTTTTAAATAACCTCTCTTGGTCTCTCTGCAGCATATCTGGGGATCTTACTGGAAAGAAGGCAAATGGGGATACAAATGCTGTCACTCATTTTTCAAGTATTCCTATTGTACAGGCGAAGCTGGGAAGGAGGTCATTGTAAGTAATTGTCTTCTGGTTCTTAAAGGTATAAGACAACTAAAGCTCTTTAATCAAACTCTGCAAAAAATATCTTATATTTCAGATTTTATTTTCTTCTGCAATGGCTGGTAACTGTAACATTCAACTCAAATTACGTCTTTTTTCCACAGAATTCAGAGGAATGTATTACAAATGATATAAGTGGAGAAGAATCTATGAAAAAACCTCAGACCCTCATGGAGGTAAGTCTATAATCATTTGTCCTGAATTTTTAAGTCCAGAAGGAAGGACTTTAAAACATGCACTAGAGCTTTGTGTTCACACTAATAACACTGTTTTAATCATCTCACTTAGATGCACCAGGAAAAAATAAAAGAGGAGAAAAAGAAGAAGAAAAAGAAAAAGAAGCACCGAAAGAGCAGCTCAGAGAGTGATGACGAGGAAAAGAAACAGGAAAAATTAAAAAAGGTATTTTGTGAACTCTAAATAGCAAAAGTAACAAATAACAGTATTCTTTATTTGCAGGATCTTAGGAAATGACCTAGTCTTGTCTACAAGTTTATTTTTAAGAAATGTGGTTATGAACCAGAGGCTGGGTTATTGCCCAGGTCATGTTAATGGAGAATTTATGAGTTTAGGTATTGCTGCCTTGGAATATTTGAAAAATACCACTAATGCAACAAAGAATTGTTCTTTGGCTGTGATACTAATTTTTTTCCCTTTCACTATAGGCATTGAATGCAGAGGAAGCCCGCCTTCTTCAGGTCAAAGAGATCATGCAGATTGATGAGAGGAAGCGCCCTTATAATAGTGTATATGAAACTCGGGAGCCCACTGAAGAGGAAATGGAGGCGTATAGAATGAAACGTCAGAGGCCAGATGACCCCATGGCCTCTTTCCTTGGACAGTAGTAACTAGGCATGAACAGTCATCCCGGACAGACACAACGGACATACTGTCTCTTCAGCTTCTTGATGAGCGTAGGTAGAAGAATCCTTGCCTACTCTTCTTGCTGCCTAACTGTAATAAAGCTTCAAGAGTCTCAAAGTAAATTTATTCCTTTCCACACTGAAGAAACAGAAGAAAACCAAAGAGGAAGTACATTACATATGGATGAAGATTGGAAATAATCTAATTTTACATTAGTGATGAGGATAGGTCTTGGTTGTCTCCTATCAAAATGTCTTTACTCAGCAGTTAAGTCTCTATTTCTTCAGTTTTTCAAGCCCTTTAATAGTATACACTTTGAAAGTACCTTCATTACTTTCTCAAAATTAGAACTTCTTTTTTTAAACTGCTAGTAATTGCAGTAGTAATTTAACTCTAATTATTGTTGTGTTGTAATCATTTTAAATGGTCTGAAACAAAAATTCTAACATGGTCTTTGGGTAACTGAGGATATTTATAGAACATGTAAATGACTTTATTCTCCCATGTAAATCTGAAGTAACAAATATGTTTTTATTTGATTATTAAATTTAATTTTAATACATTTCCTTGAACCTTATGTACAGAACCAAATTTGTTAGCCTTTGAATGGAAGAAGAAAAAACTTATTTTCTCATCCTTGGGTCAGCATTTCTACCACGCTAAACATGATTTAGCCATAGAAATCTATTCCTTTGCTTGCGATACTACTTCTTTGTGATTGCCTTTATGTAACAATTAGGATATTAAATTTTAAAAGATTTTAGAACATCCAGAGTACCTAATCTTCATTGCCAGCAAGTGTCACTTTAAAACTTACAGAGAGTGCCAGGGATTTAGGTCAGTGGTTTCGTCGCCTGCCTTGCAAACACAAGGTCCTGAGCTCAATCCCCACTAAGAAATAAAAACTTGCAGAGAGTAAAAGTGGAGTTAAAGGTTTCTTCAGACCTGAAAGGATGGCTTGTGGGGACTAAGTAACTGAGACTGCTGTGCCCCGCAGGGCTCTTCTGTGAACACTGGGAAGATACCACCGCTGACAGAATGAGACAGCCTGTTGGTTAAGGGCCCGTAGTGAGTGCCGTTAACACCTTTCTAGTCTATCAGGAAGCACTTGTAGAATGTGGTGTTAAGTCAGCATCTCAGAAACAGGGAGCAAGGAGCAGCTGAGTCAAACTGACAAATACTGTACTACGGAGTGCTCGCTTCAGCAGCACATATTCTAAAATACTGTACCATGGCTACATATGGTATCCAGATTCAGACTGGGCTGAAATTAAAACAGCAATGCAATAGGTCTAATTCTTTTCTTCTTTAAAGGGCAAAATTTGTTTTCATATTCCTTAACTTAGGATGGCTCAACATAAAGTCTAACATTGGTGTCCATTTCGTATTTTCTTTTGTTAATAAAGGTAGGTAATTGAGAATACTTAACTGTAAGTGGTTTGTAGTGTTCTTTCGAATATTTGGCAGAGAAATAGGTTATAACAATGGTGCTGAACCTATGGCACTGTGCCACAGTGGGCTGTTTGTATTGTTGAGAGCTCCAACAGATTCCCCCTCACTGGGTTATAAGATTGGCAGAAAGTCCATGTTAGCTTCTGTGAGGTTGTAATCTAAAATCACGTCCTCTTTCTGTTTCACTTTGGGAAAAAGCTAACACCTAGAACAGTACTCAGGTCTCTGTAACTGCCTTTTCCATATTGGAACTATGTGCTATCATTTTCACATTGTCTCAGAAGACTCTCAAGGGATAATAGATTGCTGTCCCTATTTTACAATTAGCATGTGGGCTTAACAGCTGCAAATGGTCTGCTTGATTCCTCAAAGTTAAAGGTGTTGTAGCCAGGACACAAGCCAACCCTTTACTTTAGGGTTTAAGGCCTTCATTTCTGGCCCCTGAGGCTGGTCTTTTGCAATTTCTTCTATTGACAGAAGCCTTAAGCAGGCCCTAAGTGTTTTCCAGGTTGGCTGTCACCACCTGAAATTGACACACCTGTTCCATCTTTGACATCCTTCCCTAAACTCTCCTCCTCACAGGAAACAGCCTTGTGAAATGTTTCAAAGACTGCAAAAGTGAACAAAAAGTTTAAAAGAACTTTGATAAGAAACGGAGGAGGAGAGGAAAGGGATGTGAAAAGAATAAAGATGTGTCATGTACGTGTACCAGCCACCCAGAATGAATGTATTCGTTATGTACAGCAATCATGTACTAATTTAAAAACAAACCCTCTAGAGGAAAATAGCCTAAAAGTAAAGAGGACTGTATATGGGTTTAATACTTTTGCATTTGGGGGTGGGGGTGGGGTCTCACTATCCAGTTCAAGCTGGCCTTCAACTCACAGCGTAGCCACTATTCGTAGTGATCCTCCTGCATCGCCTCCTGAGTGTCGGGATTGCACCACCATGTCCGGTCTTGGGTTTATTACTTTTAAATCGTGTTGCTAACAAGAATTGTAGCTGGGCACGCGGTAGTGTGGCTTGTAATTCCAGCACTTGGGAGGCTGAGGCAAGGGGATACCAAGATCAAGGCCAGTTGGGGCACACAGTGACCGTCTCATACAAAAACAATTTTACATAAAATCGTCCGAGAGATTCTTGGGATATTCACGTCCATGCTTTTAACTCAGAGGGGTGACCAGTATGGGCAATAGCCACAAGCTGTGGAAGCTCATTCTGAATCCTAATGGAGTTTAATCCCTGCCCCACTGCCCTAAATCCTTGGGAGTACAATGAGCTTCCTTCTCTTTTCCCTTATGGGTTCCACACGTAGCATGGTAATCACTGCAGCTTTAACACTTCCAAGCTCAACGCCTGTCACTGGCGTTGTCACACGAATTTTATTCACACAGTCTGATTCTGAAAAACTATGTGGACTATCTAGTACCTTCCATTCCTGGGATTCATCCTGTGGCCAATACAATAAAAAATTTACAACACCAGGAACCCAAGCTAAAAAAAATTAGGGAGGGCAAGCGCGCATGCACCCTTCGCAGCCCCGCCGGCCCCCGCTGGTTGCTACTGCGCCTGCGTACGGGAGCCGCCTCGCCCCGTCTGCGGGCGAGAAGCAGGCCGGGACCCGGATGGAACCCTGGCCGGGCGGGAACAGGGTGGCCGCTGGGTTGGTGTCCCCGCGCACCTCAAGGGTCAGCCGTGAGGCAACGCCGCGTAGCCTGGTTCCGGCGCTCTGGGCCCCTGGGCGAGTGGGAGAGGGGAACTGGCGCCTGTAAGAAGCTCGAGCATCCCCGGCCTGCGCTTCGGGCTCGGAGAAGGGCGGAGACCCCCGCCAGTCTTCCCGCTACGGCCCTAGCGCCCTGGCCTGCTCCAAACTCCGCTCTTCTTAACAGCACGGTCAGGTCCGCTCAGTTAAGAGCAGCGTGTTCTTTGCATGCATTCTCATAGTCAAACCTCCCACAGCCCTGTAAGGTAGGTACTGTTATCCGCATTTGAGGAACTGAAAGGTCCCAGCCTCTTGTCAAGGCAAGATCCCAGGCGTCTGACTCCAGGGCGGCTGCCCCATTACCACATCCCTTCCCTCGGCTGTTGATTAGACTTCTGGCTCTTGATTTTAACTGTAAAATGCCGTGGTTTTATCCTCTGCTTCCCCAAACACCGCGCCTACCCTGAGCTCGCCTAGGCGGTGGCGGTGGCGGTGGCGAAATGTAAGTTGAGTGTGGTTTCTGGTTTCAGGCTTGCAACTGCACTTTGGAGTTTTCACTCCCGAAATATATGTATTATCATTTCCTAGATGTTTCTGTTGTGTAAATAGTCACTTTTAACTGATTTTTTTTCTCAACTATGTACTTTTTCATATCTGCGCTTCATAAACTTGCACACATTTTACTTTGTGTCAGATCTTTCATCGGCTCTCAGGATAGGTCAACAGAACCATTCTAAAAATGAATTCTGTCTTAATGCTTTTTATTTTTTATTTACTTTTTATTAAAGAGAACGTTCACTGTTCATAAAAGTAGTGAGAATGGCATAATGATGTGTATCCATCGTCCAGCTTAGAGTTACCACCCCAAGGCCAATCTTACATCTTTTAGCTCCACCCCCCTTTATGTGTGTATTCATGTGTGTGCTGAATACAACATTTAAGAGGAACTCCCAGACATCATTTCACTTGTAAATGATGAAGTCTGTCTGTATCTCTTAAGTGAACACAACCACAACATCCTTCTCATATCTGTTTAATAATTTCTCACGATGATTCTTTTAATGTTTACATTTTAGGCTGTTGTTATTCCTAAATACCACAGAGGAGCAAGTGAAAATTGTGAGGTTCTAAGACACAGGAAAGCTTCCTGGGCGGTAAGTTCATCACCAAGGATATTGAAAATTCTTGCCACCTATTCTCTCTGAGAGGGATGGAGAATAAGTGGATTTTCTTCAAAATTATTTTGTTCAAAACAAGTGTATCTTAAAAGGGACTTGAGTGGCATGGGATGGATAAAAATGAACTCTAAACAGATCCTGTAATGATTTCTAAGACTAAACCAAAGCTTTTTCCTTCATTCCTTCTGCCTGTCCAGTTGTTCATGGTAAATATGAATTACAAAATCCACTGAGATAAACATTTTTATGCTGATATCAGAATGTTATCTTTTAATGAGAAGTAGTTTAAACACAAGTAGCCATATTATCCCAATAGTGCTTGACAAAAGAAGGTGTAAGATCAACTTCTTTATATTTTTGATGGTATCAGGGGTTGAATCCAGGGCCTTCCCACTGAGCTATAAATCCAGCCCTTTTTTTGTGTTTTTTCTTTTGAGACAAGGTCTTGCTAAGTTGGCCAGGCTAGACTCAAAATTTGTTTTGCATTATCAATCATTCATTCTAATCATTGGTACATTTTAGGTATACAATATAATGACATTAGACTCAAAATTTGTGATCCTTCTGCCTCACCCTCCTAGAGTGCTGGGATTACAGGCATAAGCCACCATCCTCAATTTAAGATCAACTTTTTGAACTTCAGTTAATTTTTGATTGGTAGACATCCTCAAATTTTTGACTAGTTCATAACAACCTTATAGCAAATCAACTTATTACTAACATAGAAGTATATTTTACAGCTAATTAATCTTGGCATAGCCAGTACAAAGCTAATAGTTTAAGTAGGTGTTCTTGCCTTACTTATTGTGATGTTTTTTAATAGTCAAAGTGGGAATTTAGATTTAAATGTGTCTCAATTTATTTTTTTTTTTTTTGTGGAACCAGGGATCAATCTCAGGACCTTGCACTTGCCAGGCAGGCACAGCACCACTGACGTAACTGAGGTACATCCCCGGCCTGTCTTTTAAATTATTTCAGCCAAATTCCAAGGCATTGAACTTTGGAAACTCAAATATACCCACATATATTTGAGTCTATCTTTACTAAGGAGAGAGAAGAAGAGAAATGGCTTTTTTTTTTCTTTAGGTCCCTTAACTTTTTTTTTTTTTGTACTGGGGATAGAACTTGGAACCTTGTGCTTGCGAGGCAGGCAGTGGCACCACTGAGCTAAATCCCCAGCCCTCCCTCAACTTTTATAGGCCGTTGTCATCAACTTAGAAAGCTTTTTGGACTGTTCACTTGACAGCCTAGAGTATTTTCAAGCTAGGGTTTGATTGGCTTGAAGGAAATATTTTCATTCCTCTAAATCTGAATACCTACTAAGATGCATAGCAGGATCACAAAGACTAATTTATTTCATATTCTTTTGTTCTTCTGGAGATGATTAGTTCTAGGGTAGTAAAAGGGTCCCCAGTGATGGTGATAGCCATCCCTTCACCTCTTAACTACAGATCAATGTTCTAGTTAGCATCCATGAGAACAATCTGAAGTGCTTACTTAGAATACAGATTCTATGCCTCTACACCAGATGACTCAGATGATTCCCCTGTTTACTGAACTACAGAACCAGTGGCCTATATCCTGTCCTTGAGTTAAGCCCAACGTTAGGAATGCTGCTTATTTTCATTCTGTTGTTTTGGCTTCTATCTTGACTGCTTTTACTGAGAGGTAAAATTAAGGTGTTTTCATATAGGAGGAATTTTCCTAAAGTCTCAGTAACAATAATTGTTTCTTTTGAGCATATTGGTTTTCTTTTATACATGGACAATGTGAATCAAGAACTGAGAGTGTGTTACACTTAGCAGCAAGTAAGCTCTGAGCCATATTTGTAGCCTGCTTTTGTGTCAAAGTAGACTTAGTCAGACTTAAGGACTTATTTGCACTGGGGATATATGGGGACCACTGAGATTAAACAAGGCCTTACACATGCTAGGCAAGCACTCTGTCACTAAGCTACATCCCCAGGCTTTATTTATTTATTTATTTATATTTTGAGACAGGATCTCAATAAATTGCCCAGCTCAAAATTGCAGCCCTCTTTTTTGTTTTCTTTTTTTTTTGTGCCCGGGATCGAACTCGGGTCCTTGCACTTGCACAACAGGCTGCAAAACCACTGAGCTAAATCCCCAGCCCAAAATTTGTCTTTTTTGTTTGTTTGTACCGGGGATCAAACTTGGGTCCTTCCGCTTAGTGAGGCAGGCGCCAGAACCACTGAGCTACATCCCCGGCCCCTTGTAGTCCTCTTGTCTCAACTCCCAAGTAGCTAGGATTAGGGGGCATTCACCACCACTCCAAGCTTCCTGTTTGAAAATCTCGCTTAAGTTAAAATCCAAGCTGCTCAAGGATCAAATAGTTTTACAAACCTGTTTAATCTTTGACTATTAAAAAGAATCAACCAACAAAAAATAAAATAAAATAAAAAGAATCAACCACCCTATCAAAATATACCCTTCCCTTAAGCATTTGGTGAATTTACTATTCCCTTCTCTGTTTGGGGTTGGCCTTGAATTCACTGCATACCCCAGGCTGGCCTCAAACTCGACTTGCAGCAATATTCCCTCAGCCTCCCAAGTTCTGGGATTACAGGCATGCACCACCACACCCAGCAGTTCAGCTGTTCTTAACTGAGGGTGTGCATACATCTTTGGGGCAGAACAGAAGGAGGGGGAAGTAGTGAGATGTCCTTTGTAGGGTATACAAAATGTAGATTTATTTTGAACAAACGTTACTGAAAGCAAATTAAGCCATAGCTGCAGTTATCTATTGAAGGATTTATAGTTATTCATAATTTGCCTCAGCACAGATATCCCATATATGACTTGCTGGCAAGTCATTTATTCCAGGGCATTTGCTCTGAGTTGTTCGTCTTAAGTGGTAGTGTCATGCTGTTGTGGCTTTGAACTGACCTGTTGCCAGATATTTCTTGGCAGGTACAGAATAATGTGATGATAAGATAACATGTGGTGTGGTTTTGCTTGAATTTGGGTAGCTACTGATTTTTAACGTGTTGGTTATATTTTACTCCCAGAGGAAAATTCTGTGGCATCTCTGGACTACTTCCTGAGAATTTTTTGTGTGCCATGTCAAAGAAACGCAAATGGGATGATGACTATGTTCGTTACTGGTTCACCTGTACAACAGAGCTTGATGGAACTCAACGCCCACAGTGTGTATTGTGTAACTCAGTATTTTCAAATGCTGACCTCAGGCCATCGAAACTGTCAGACCATTTTAACAGACAGCATGGTGGTATAGCTGGGCATGACCTCAATAGCCATATGCCAGCACCATCTGATCAGAGTGAAACTTTGAAAAGAGTTGGAGTTACATCTCATGAAGATGCCTTATTACAAGCATCGTATCAGTTTGCATATTTGTGTGCCAAGGAGAAGAATCCTCATACAATAGCTGAAAAATTAGTGAAACCCTGTGCACTAGAAATAGCACAAATAGTTTTGGGACCAGATGCACAAAAGAAGCTTGAACAGGTCCCTTTGTCAGATGATGTGATCCATTCCAGAATTGATGAAATGAGCCAGGATATCTTACACCAAGTGCTAGAAGATATCAAAGCCAGTCCTCTTAAGGTGGGTATTCAGCTTGCAGAGACAACAGACATGGATGACTGCAGTCAGCTAATGGCATTTGTTCGATATATAAAAGAAAAAGAGATTGTAGAGGAATTCCTATTCTGTGAACCACTTCAGTTAACCTTGAAAGGAGTGGATGTGTTCAATCTCTTCAGAGACTTCTTTTTGAGGCACAAGATAGCACTTGATGTATGTGGCTCTGTTTGTACTGATGGTGCCTCCTTGATGCTGGGAGAGAATTCAGAATTTGTTGCCTATGTGAAAAAAGAGGTGCCTCATATCATGATCACACATTGTCTGTTGAATCCTCATGCACTTGTCATAAAGACATTGCCTGTAAAACTGAGGGATGCGTTGTTTACTGTGGTGAGGGTAATAAATTTCATCAAAGGGAGAGCGCCAAATCATCGCCTATTTCAGGCTTTCTTTGAAGAAATCGGTATAGAATATAATGTCCTCCTTTTCCATACAGAAATGAGGTGGCTTTCCCGAGGCCAAATACTTACCCATATCTTTGAAATGTATGAAGAAATAAATCAGTTTCTTCACCACCAAAGCAGTAATTTAATTGATGGTTTTGAAAATAAAGAGTTTAAAATTCACCTAGCATACCTTGCAGATTTATTCAAACACTTAAATGAACTTAGTGCGTCTATGCAGAGGACTGGGATGAACACAGTATCAGCTAGAGAAAAGTTATCTGCTTTTGTTAGGAAGTTTCCATTTTGGCAAAAACGAATTGAGAAAAGAAATTTTACCAATTTTCCTTTTCTTGAAGAAATAATTGTCTCAGATAATGAAGGAATATGCATTGCAGCTGAAATAACACTGCATCTGCAACAGTTGAGCAACTTCTTCCATGGATATTTTTCTGTTGGAGATCTTGATGAGGCAAGTAAATGGATCCTGGATCCATTTCTTTTTAACCTCGATTTTGTCGATGATGGTTATTTAATGAAAAATGATCTTGCCGAATTACGAGCTAGTGGCCAAATCCTGATGGAATTTGAAACAATGAAGCTTGAGGATTTTTGGTGTGCTCAATTCACAATGTTTCCAAACCTGGCAAAGATAGCTCTAGAAATCCTTATGCCATTTGCAACTACGTACCTTTGTGAGCTGGGATTCTCATCACTTTTACATTTCAAAGCAAAGTCCAGAAGCTGCCTTAATAGGAGTGATGACATCCGTGTGGCCATTTCCAAAAAAGTTCCTCGTTTCTCAGACATCATTGAGCAAAAGCTACAGCAGAAGTCACTGTGAGCTAATACACACTTTCAATGTATAACTTTTTAGTATATTCTTAATGCCATTGTAAAATTTAGCTGAATTCTGTTTCCTTTTCTTTTGTACTTATGGTGTACTGAATTCTGTGTTGTAAAAATTTTGCTACTTTAAATTTTAATGAGGCATGTGAAAATGTTTTAAGAATAAGCAGACAAAGTACCACTGTGTAGTAAACATATAGGATTTTTCGAATTCTGATTTTCCATGTAACCTATTGATGCAATACATAAAAAAGACACCTAAGGGGCCGGGGATTTAGCTCAATGGTTTCACCGCCTGCTGCACAAGCGCAAGGACCCGAGTTCAATTCCTGGTACCAAAAAAAGAAAAAGAAAATAAAAAAAAAAAGACACCTAAGCATAGAATATCAAGCTAAATGGTACAGTAGGCTAGGAATTGAGCCAAGAAAAAAAGAAAAGACCTCCCAGGAGTCAAACGACAAAATGCACCCTTTCAGGCCTTATCTTCTTTTTTGTGGTAGTAGAGATTGAGCCAGGGAGCTTGGGCATTTGAGGAAAGTACACCACCACTCATCCCCACCCCTGTTTGAAGACAGGGTCTCACTAAGTTACTGGCCAGGCTGGCCTGGAACTTGAAATTCTCCTGCCTCACCTTTTCAAGTAGATAGGATTACAGGCATACACTGCCATCCTTGGCCAAAGGACAGTTTTAAGGAAATGGCTAACAAGGTTTTTATTTTATTTTCAAATTCTGCAACAGTTTATTTTCCCCTGATAAAGAAGTATATTGTTTGCTAAATTGAGAAGAAATTCATTTTTTTATTTTAAAACACTCTCACAATAATGCATATATTGGCACATACAAGTCCTTTTTGCCAAGGAATAGATTTTTTTTTAATGTCTTTTACTGTATAATTAAGGTCATTGATAAATGCCCAAAAGGATATCAGGCAGTATAGAGATGTAATCTCTATGACCAGCAGATGTCACTCTGCAGGTTTGGTTGAAAGCAAACTTGCATCACAGATCTCATTAAATATCTTATTTTAAACGTGTCTACAAAAAGGTATTAGTGACTCAGAAATGTCCATTCTGAACCTCCTCCAGCTCAAAATTGGAAGACAAGGGCTGGGGATTTAGCTCAGTGGTTCCGCCATCTGCCTCACAAGCGCGAGGTCCCAAGTTCGATCCTGGTACCAAAAAAGAAAGCATTGTGCTTCAAAATTGGAAGACAAACTGGTGGAGCCAGTAAGCTCTCTAAGAAATCACTGGGGAGGCTGAGGCAAGAGGATCACCATGAGTTCAAGGTGAGCCTGGGCTACATAGTGAGTTCAAGTCCAGCCTGAACTCCTAGTAAGACCTTGTCTCAAAAAGCAAAAAAATCACAAACACTGAGAAAGAAGATACAAATGGCTTTATCTATAAAAACCGACTTGAGCATTTTTATTTTTGACATTTTGGCTGCTTTTCTAAGCCACCAAAAGCTGCTTGAAGTGTCTGAATAGATCAGCATTTCAGACATAACCCAATAGGAATCAAAACCAAATGGATATATACTTTCTTTTTTTTTTTTTTGGTACCGGGGATCGAACTTGGGTCCTTGCACTTGTGCAGCAGGCGGCGAAACCACTGAGCTAAATCCCCAGCCCTGGACATATACTTTTAAAGAATAAATTTTATGATACTTGAATTATATTTGTTCTAAAAGGTAGGCTGTGGATATTTAGAGTATAGATTTTTTAGCCCTGTATTATATCAGACTTGTAAGCTTGGCTTTAATATGTATAAAGCATTTGAAAAAGTCCAATTTGAAGCTTTCAAAGTCCATCCTAATTTGAAGGGCAGTATACAGTTGTCTAATTCATTGTATTTTGTACTTTATCTTCTGAGAATAAAGAGAGACCTAAGGTTATTTTCCTTCTGTTTTTACAAACCTGCTACAAATCTAATGCTACTTAAGACTTGGACTCAAGTGCCAGCTCAGCTACTCACTGGCTGTGTCAACCCTGGAACTATCAGCCTTTAGGAATCAAGAGCTCTGGCCAGCTGATCATCACATTTTGACCTGCTCAGAGTTCATTCATTTGCTTCCTATAACTGTTGCATATCAGCCGATCAGATAACATAAATGAAATGAAAACATTACTAGAAAGGCACTCACAAAGCTGACTCAAAAAAAATAAAATCTAAGGAGACCTATAATAAAAGAGTCTACTGCTTTTCCATTACTATAATGAAATACTTTATAAAGAGGTTTATTTAGCTCATAGTACTGGAAGTCCAAGAGGATGGTACAAGCCTTTCTGGCAAGGTCACTGTGGATGACATCACAGTGGCATCCCTCTACATACTAGAGGGGACAGTCACATGGCAAGAGGAAGCCAGAGAGTGACAGAAAAGGGCCAATATTTTTCTCCTACTGGACCCCACCTCTTGAAGCTTCCAAGACCAATATTCTGCATACAGAGCCTCCCAACACATGAACCCTTGAGGCCAAACTACATCCCAATCAAAGCAATCAGTAAGCCAAAAAAGCTCAACAAAGTAAAGTACAGGGCCAAATAGCTTCAGTGTCGTCTGGAGAATTCCACCAAATGTTCAAAGAACACCAGTCTTTGCAAACTCTTCCAAAAGTTGGAGGGAGAAATAACTTATTCTAACAATATTCCTTATGAACATGGTCATAAAATTCCCCAGTAAAATACTAGAAAACTGAATCCAGCAGCATAAAAAAGATTATACACTATGACCAAGTAGATTTTATTCCAGGAATGCAAGGTTGGTTGTACAGGAAAATCAATCATAGTGCTGGAAGAAATAGACCACATGATTGTCTCAATAGACATAGCAAAAGATAAAATTCAATACTTTTTAATTTTAAATACTTAAACTAGAAATAGAAGTAAACTTTCACTTGATGAATATTTGCAAGAACAGATCTATATAGTTAATATTTGGTGAAAGTCTTTCCCATAAAATCAGAAAAAGATGTCTACTCTCACCGTTTGTATTCAACATCATTCTTGGAGGATTTAGCCAGAGAAGTTAGGCAAGAAAAAGAGATTGCAGGGGGGAGAGTTTTTAGATTTGGGGTTTTTTTTGTTTTTTAGTTAACATTTATTATTGGACGTGGAAACTCTAAGAGGTGTCTTTAGAGCACTCACTGGTGTCCTAGACATAGTCATTTTTGCTCCCTTTCTGTAGCAGCAACCTGTCTCCTTAGTAGTAATCAGTCACCCCAGTCAGTAAAGTTCCTCCCGACGTGAAGAGGCCAGCACCAATGTGACAACTTAATTAGAGATGACCAAGCTAATATCTGTTACAGGAGAATGATACAGTGTAGTAGCAGTATTGAATAAAGATATGCCTCACACCAGGAGGTCTGGAGTTCTAATTGACCTTCCTGTGTCAGAGCCTGTGATAGGCAAAATAATGGTCCCCCAATATCTGAAACCTGTGAATGTGTTAGTTAATGTGGAAAAAGGGACTTTTCCAGTGTCTTTAGTGAAGATCTTAAAGAGATTATCTAATGGGCCCACTATAGTCAAAAAGGTCCTAGGAGAGATTTGAAAGTGTACTATACTCATTTTGAGGTTTGAGAAGGGGCCACAAGCCAAGGAATATAGACATCCTTTAAAAGTTAAAAAAGGCAGGCTGGGGACTTAGCTCAGTGGTGCCGATCCTACTTCGCAAGTGCAAGCCCCTGAGCTCCCGAATTCAATCTCCGGTACCGCCAAAAAAAAAAAAAAAAAGTTTAAAAAGGCAAGAACATAGATTCTCCACTTGAACTCCCAGAGGAGCCAGCCCTGCCGACACCTTGACCTCAGCCCCTAAAACTGATTTTGGACTTTTGACTTCCCAAATGTAAGATAATAAATGTATGTTGTTCTAAGCCCCTAATTCTATGATGAAGTGTTACAAAACATCAGCAATAGAAAACTAACACAGGGCCATAGGAACACTCTCTGTCAAATCAGGAATCACCAACATAGGCATTGAACACTTCAAAAACAAGGAGCTCAAAATGGAAACTTATCTGGGTTTTCTTATACTCTTCAGGTCATACAGGCATATTCTTGCCATATAACCAGCTCCAATAGTCAGTTTTTAATGACCCCAGAAGGAAAGAGAACAGTGGAATGGATGAAAGACTCCAAGTATAAATTCTCCATGTCACTATTATAACAAACATTGACAAACTACAAACTGCCCTGAAAATTCTCATTCACATGATTCCAAAGTAATGTTATTAATTAGGACAGACTCTTCCTTGAGGAGTGCAAACGCCTGAGACCAATTTCAGGTCCACTGGAAGCCAAGCTCAAAGTGGCCAGACTGCATCTCAACTTCCAGATCAGTAAAAGCACTAAATGCCCCCAGTGGAAGCATTGCTCCTTTGGAAAACAAGACTTCCAAACTGACAGAGCTCACAGTTGCAGCAATGGGAAGCAAAAATTCTGTGCATTATTAGGTGCAACAGTGAGATAAGCCATTCTTACTTTCACATTCATTCCGGGACCAATGCATTGTGGACTTGCAGTGAAGGTGAGGGTCCATATTTTCTGGTTATCAATTCAAAGCACATGCTGCAGCCTGTAAGCTAGAATCTGACCCTTTTAGGCTATTTTCTCTCAGTTGCAAATAATTGAGTCTTAGTAGATCATGTCTTCATTCTAATATCTCCTTTGCTTCTAGATGATGAAATATATAACAAAACCAATCATTTCCATGGGAATCAATCCTACCCAAACTCTATTATGGACCAAATGCCCTCCCCCAATTCATATGTTGAAGTCCTAATCCCCAATCGACCTGATGTGTTTGAAGATGAGACCTTTAGTAGGGTTGGATAAGGTCATGATGGTGAGCCACTGCTCCAATGGGATTTGCACCATTAAAACAAGATACACCGGAGAGCTTCCCCTCCTTGCACCCACAAAGAGGTTTGTGCAAGGCAGTGAGATGTCAGCCATCCACAAGCCAAGAGAAGAGGCTTCAGAATTAAATCTACCTTATCTGGGACCTTGGTCTTACACTTTCTAGTCTCCAGAACTAAGAGATATCAATTTTTGTTGTTTAAGGCACCCAGTCTATGGTATTTTATTTCAGTGGTCCAAGGAGAGTAATACACATTCCTTTGCTAATCTTTGATAAGAAACAGTGTGGTGCAGGATACCATGCAGGTAACCAGGCTGGGAAAAGTGCTAAAGGAAAAGCCTCCAGAATATGTGTATTTTCTAGCGAGAATATACAGTTGCTCCTGCTATTATAGAAAGTGTCCAGTATAATCAACCTGCCACCAAGTACCCATAGCAGACACTCAGTGCTGGCTTCTGCTGTTGGCAGGTCAGGCCCTCAGCAGATTAGTCTTGAGGGGAAGTTCATGTTGTCCAGCCATGTATCAGTCTCTGTGCCTACTAACATGGGCTCACCAGGCAGTCATTGGGATGCCAAGACAAAGACGCCAACTGATAGCACAAAATCCCTCATCTTGTTCTACTGATTGTTATTGCCTCCTCCATAGTGGATGGATGTCTGTGTTAGCTTAGGTTCAGCAAGGCCATTGGAAAGTTCTTAAGCCAAAGTCAGCTGTCACAGAAGACTCATACATCCCATAAATAGTCATATCCTAGTACTCCCATCACCCTCAGTCATTTGCTGGGAACAGCCCCTGAGAAGCATTAAGCAGCACAAGTATTAAGCCCCTGTTGTAGTGGTAGGTAATGCAGGGAGGAGGAGTGCACCTTTCACCCGAAAGGGATGGTACAATGTGTGAATTGTGCAATGTGTTACAATGTGTGAAAAGGATGTTACAACAGACTATTAGTACCTCAGAAACCTCACCAAGGTCATGAATCACTGAATATTTGTGGTGTTTATCTACTACTCTCTGGCTCAGATGCATTTTACTAAGACATCTAGATCACTTGCTATACTGCCTTCTTATCAGATCCAATCTGCATAATGTCACCAGTGAAGTGGACAAGTATAATGTTGTGGGAAATGTCAAGATGATCAGTACCTCTACAGACTGTCTTATAGAAGACAATAAGCTGATGCTTCCTTAAGCCAAGTCTGTGAAGTCTGTTGGCTGTCAGGTAAAAACTGCTTCTTGTGATCATTGCAAATTAGTATGGAGTGGGGAGAAAGGCATACACCTAAACACTAGAACTCTTTAGTCTTTGGATTCCCTTCTGTACATGATATTGTGAGACCAAAGCGACTCCATTTTGCTAAATTCCACTACTCCTCTAGTCTCTCACTAATTAATGGTTAAAATGTGCTTGCTCTGGGACAAAAGACACAATCTGTACTGAAGCAAAGTTCCTAAGTTAATTACTCAACCATCTGTTTGCCTAGGAAAAGAATGTTCCGGACCCCCTATCCATAGAACAATCTGTAGATGTGCTGACTGTCAGTACGTAATGGTCATGACTATTAGTCAGTGTGTCTGCTGACCATCAATACGTGACAGTCGGCCACTAACCTTTGTCCCTCTTTTCCCTTGTAAAACCTAGATGTAGCCACCCCTCAACCCCCGATGTA